CCTACCTCGACTTGCCCTGAACGCAATTCGCTTCTTTCCAATTAATAATAAAAACCTGCGCTTATGCTGGGCACAAAATGCTTTAACAAAAATGAATGAGCAGATTTAAGGCATTGATAGAGCAAACTAACATATGTTGAGGTAAACTACCCACAAGTTTTAAATAAAGCACACTCATAAGTGCATACAGAGTTACACTGCAGCGATAAAAATGGAAGTAGGTTCTAATTCTAGACATTAAAAGCTAGAAACTCTTGTTATAATTCAATGAAATATCTATGGGCTATCGATGGAATAAAACAGGCAAAGAATTTCCTCAGTCCAGCAGATCAAAGCCGTGCAAAGCAGAAATACAATTTAATGACCATTCAGGTCCACTTCAACCAAGATTCTGTCCATGAACTGCCCTGGAAACAACCTATTTTTAAAGTTATTTGTGTTTCCATCCAACTGACCTAAACCTGATGGAAGTACACAGAAGTTATGGGGAGAAAAGCACTTTTGCTTTCTCAGCTTTACTCTTCATGTTGCAATTAGATCTTCATGTTGAAGTTTCCTAAATATATTCTTGTTCAGATTCCATGCTGCGCTTGTTGATTTCTTAACCACTTGCATCCTTTTTATTTTCAAAGCACTTAAGGGATCATTTAGAAGGGAAATGTTTAAAAAAAAAAAAAAAAAAAGTTTCCTAAATTACACACTTCTGACTTCTCTATCTCAGACCTTTCCAAACCTTTCAGATTTTTTAACATCTCAGATGTGTTTTAGCCACAGTTTAAACTGCAGGAATAACATCGCTGTCAAGTCAGGAAAGGTCTCTGCCCTCAACAGGTTGTTCAGATAATTGACAAGAAAAATAAAAACCCATCAGCTCCCACAGTCTTTTTGTTTGTATCTTTGATCTGCTTTCAAGATTTTCAGTCTTTTGAGTCAGCAGCTCACTTCTATGCAAGTTTGTTCACGCTTTTATGTCTCCCATGTCAGTTTATCCCAGTTCTCAAGTGATCCAACTGTAGTCAAAATAGCAATTATTTCTGTGTTCGGTTGTTGAAAAAGTTTTAGCTATTTTTTTTGTCTGAATTATGTTCACTTTCATGTCTAACAGGTGCAGCAGTGAAAACACGCACGGATCTGAGGCAGCTTATTGCACAGTAGACGGATGCTCTTTGCAGATGCCTCTTTTAGGAAAGTCCCATGTAGCCGTCTCAGAAAAACAAAAAGAAAAAAAAATCCATTTATCTGTCTTTGGCATGTTTTACACTTTGAAACATTTCCACCACTGAAAATAACAGAATCCCTAACTGGAGCAGGGAAGTTTTCTTAGTAGTCAATAAATAATACACTGTTGAGAGCCAAAAGCATGAAGTTTAGTTGGGGAAAAAGGGTGCCAGAGCTGAGGTTTACAGCAACGCTTTAGCAGAAGCCTCGAAAATCAAAACTCGCTGAGAGTTATAAAACACCAAGTGCCTTTCCTGAAGAATTAATAATCAAATTAATCAACAACAAAAATAAAAGTGATGTAAAGAACTTTCTGCAGCATTTCAAAACCAGATTGAGATACAGACTCCCAGCTTTTCCCAGTTCCCCATCCACCTTTTTTTTTCTGGATGACCCTTCCTCCCTAGGAAGGGCTGCACAATTTATCTGAAGGTTGACTAGTCCATAACATAGGGCAATTATTTCTTTTATTATTTATTTATTATTTGCTTTATTAAGTAGTCACGTGCCCGGCAATGTAATGAAGCCTGAAAATTACCCTGCGTTCACAGTAATAATTCTCATCCTGAAAGCATTATGGATGCAGATACCTTACAAAGGAAACCCAGTTTAATTCTACACTAGAATGTATATGAATGAGCAGGGATTCGAAATTCCTCTTACAAGTATGGACAACTCTTTACATAAGCTACAAACTACATCAAAATACCACTTACAAATAGATGTATTTTTCTAAATCACAGGTAATAAAGAAAGCAAGGAAGAACAGTCCGATCAAATAAGTGATTTGAAAACATACTGCACAGAAAGCTTTTAGTGTCAGTCCCCAATAACACAGCACATTAATTACCCTAGGAATAGCACAGTGGAAATTGCAAAGACCCAAAGACTGCTGCTAAAAAGCGGATTTGAGGCTCAGACCAGCAGAGGTCAGGATGTGATCAGGAGTCTAACCCAGGAGCATTTCTGCATGATTATCCAAAGAAACTACATTTCCAATTTAGCACCGATTCAGTAAATACTGTTCCTGGGTTGACATTTTGTCTGACACAGTATGAATCAAATACAGGATGGTGGAGTAAGGCAGTACTTTCACCCAATAATTTAAGGCTAAGCTACACAGCTACTGTGAATCAGAGCTTTAAAACACGTAAGAGTACAATAATTGCAGGCTGTCTGACGGTGATGCCCATGGGCTCAACACCCTGCTGCGTCCTTTCGAAGGAAATGAAATTAGATGTACACTCAGAATGTGATCAAGTGGGATGGAAAACATCAGGATGCAACAATTTCAGGTCAGGTATGAGGAAATGCACCTGAACCAACGCAAGAGAAGAAAAAAGAGCTTTTCCTTTGCCCTAGGGACAGGTATTACGTGACCCCATGGGACGTGGTAGCTGGTTAAGCATGGCCTCAACGACCACATCCTTATGGGACACAGGAACAGAGCTCTTTGGAAATGCAAACCAATAAAACACTTCATCTCCTAACTTTGTAGCCATTTATATTTAAGAAAAGGGTGATAAACCTGTAAGTTCCTCTTTGAAGAGCTGGGCGACGCCGGACTTACCTTTTCTATTGCCACATCGTGAACAGGAAGTTCCTCTGGGCTGGAAACAAAGACAAAGGTCACATCAGTCCTGGTTCATCGCGGCACAAAACTCAGGATTAATTTACAGCAGGAATACACCAGCAACTAAGCAGAAGGCAAGAACTATGAGAAGCTTTCCTGAGTAAAACACAGTAACACTCATGACATTACGTAAGGAAATAGAAGTAGATAAGAAACCAAAATCAAAACAGCTTTCACTGCTTCAAATAAAATGTGTTATTCAAAAAATCACTTTTTCCTTAAAAGCACACCACGCTGCATTCCTGAACTGAAGCCGAAGTGATATCTTGGCAGCACAGTAAAGAAAGAAAAGCCTTTCCAATGAAGGAAAAAATCATACCCAAGTATTTTTAATGCAGATTTGCTTTCTAAATCCAGCTATTTTTGAACATACTTATGCCCCTAGGTGTAGTTTTAACATCAATATCAATTTTGCTTACTAGCCCATGCTCCTGCTGGCTGAAATATCCCTAAAAAAGATTTTTCTTTTTCTACTACTGTGTCCAGGCAAAGCCACAGGAGACACTGCTGGGCTTGGGATAGTAAAATTACATTTTCTCAAAGTCTTAGAAAAATTCTGATTAACAGAAAGGAAGTAGTCTGAAAGAAAAAAAAAAAAAAAAAGGAAAATTGTTTTAAGTAGGTATTTAGTCCAAATTCAAAATTTTAAGTTTTTTTCATCTAACTATAAATAGGGAGGTTGTTATAAAGCATGAAGAGCAGCACTTTAAAATGTTTGTTTAGTGCCAGAATAGGGGCCCCTTCCTCGGTGGGCAGCACCTGCAGCTCCTGAAGCCCGAGCAGCTCCCTGTGAGCAGCAAGGCTCCCTTTACACTCTACAGACCTGATAAATAACTCACGAAAATAAAGTAACTGCTTTAGATTCTCATTAAATCTTTCTTTTGGGTATGTGTGGTCATTCCTGATGAGTCTTGTTATAATAACAAATACAGGTAACAAGGAAATGCACCAAAACATCCTAAAAACTAGTTTCAAAAGCAGAGCCCTCTCTGTTTTTAGCAGCCCTGGAACAGACACGGTCCTCTGGAAATATTTTCAAAGTATCTCAAAGTTTCCCTGAAAAAGCAAGGTCAAAACCCTCCAAAACTTGACCAAGGTCTGAGTTTAACCTGCTAGAAAAAAAACTTACTCCAGTCATTGACACCCGAAGCTCTGAATGACTAAAAAAAAAGGAAAAAAGAAAAACATGGAATTGTGCATGATTCCCATATAGCTAAATCAATATACACAGGGCCTGCTTTCAGGTTGTGTAACTTCATGTAGAAATTAAGGTTACTTGAAAAATGTAAAAATATAAAGCAGGAGGCTGGGAGCTCAGAGAGGGGAAAGAAAGAAAAATAAATAGAAATAGCAAAAGAAACCACACACATGATATTCAGGTCTACTTGACCAGGAGCAAAGCAAAGGCACAGTGGGCAAAATAAACCCTCCAAACCCATAACAGTATTTTCAATACATACTTTTCCATTTACTGAATTGGCTTTATACTCAGAAGCACTATCACACTTTAAAAGAAAAAGATCAGACAAGATCAGGCATGAGAATAGCTAATACCCATTACTCCATTTGCTTTTATTATGCCTGCTATTTTTTTTCTTTATCGTGCCGACTTCTTCCTCTCCTCCTTCAGCCTAACCGGCTTAATTCACACCTTCATTATCTTTGTGATGTGGAATCCTTCCCTTCTTTCCTAGTCAATTTAAACCTGTATTTTTCAATATTGTTGTCTGTGTACCCCACCAAGCAATAATGTGAAGCAGTATTAACATTATACAGCAACATCCTGCCATAAGGCAACTGCTTTAATAGCTCCAGTAATATTCAAGCAGGGGACAGTGAGAGGAAGAGGAGACCTGATTAATGCAATTAGCTTGGAGCCATTCAACACCTGATACACAAAAAAAAGGGAGTCAGAGCCTTTAACCATGGACAACCGCACTCATGTAAATAAGGTCTCACTTAACAGCAGTGAAATCTCAGCATTCCTTTGCCCACAATTATAAAAGATCCAAACTTGACAAATCCACCTGATAATTGGGCAGGAATTAAGACTCATTAGAGCTGGTATGCAACCAAAGCCCAGGCTAGACGGAGCTGAAGGCAACTCCCAGCAGCCGACTCAACATCCCTCCATAGCCTGGTCAAAAACTTCTTCCCATTTTCAACCTGGGATATTACCACCTTCCTGGGAGGATTTAATGCAAAGCAAAAGCAGCCTGTTAGTTCAAAGAAACCAGGATTTTGCTTTGAAGAACATGGGTTTTATTGAGAATGTATATTTTTAATTAATTATAAATGATGGATAGATTTTTTTCATCTCTAAACCCACTATGACTAATACTGGCTTTGACACATTTTTCAAGATAAGTGTTAAAAGTCTTAATGCATAAATAACTGACACTTCAGAACATTAAAAATGTGCATTAAATGCATTAAAATAAATGCATTTTAAATGGTTTTGACCATTATTACATGAAGCCATATATTGTAATCTAAATAAATTGGGAAGAGCCTCAGATTGAACAAGCTTAGTCACCCACCTGCTTCTGCTGTTTAAAACAGCTTTCCTTAAACAGCACTTTGATGTATTTGTTCACTACAAACCCAAGGAAAGGCTTCCTCGCATTAGTCACTCATCACAGTTATTCTTTTCTCACATTCACACTGGAGCGAAGAGCAAGTTTCCTGCTGGTTCCACTGGAATATTTTCCTGCTTCCAGTTTGGCTCAAATGTGTTTAAGAAATATAAGGGCTCCTCTATCAGCTTCAGTTCTGAGGATTTAAGTACAGAACTACCAAACTGGAAAGATGTTTAGTGTAAACATCAGTCTTGGTATGTTTATAAGCTCTACAACTGCAAAATCCAGAAGGTCAGTTCAATTCTTCACATTTCTAAATAGCACAAATTCTGACTGTTCTGTCAAGAGTTATTCATTGCTAGTAGGAAAAAAGGGGGGGGACAAAATTGACCTTAATAAACTAAAAGCCTACAAATAAACAAAAACCTACAAAATTAATGGCAACTAAGATTTATGATTACACTCTCATTTCTTTGCAAGCTGTTTTTTTATTCTCATAACTTCTACTCCAAACCGTATCACTTCCTTAAAGACGAGGTCATGAGAACCAGCCAGTGAGCTCTGCAGAACTGGGGGGATCTTTTCCTGATGAATATCCCAGGAGTAACTAATTGTGTGGAACTCGATCAACTCACTGAAATACTTGGGTGCTCTTAAAAACCTACAATGCAGCCCCTAAACAAAGAAGTTTCTCAAACTATTTTTTAACTATCTTCTCATCCTGTCCTCAACTTACCACTAAGCAAACGAGCATCATTTTGTATCGATATAAGTACTTGTTAACTGAAAAGTACTTTGGAATCACATGTTTCATATCACATATTTCATATCACATTCACATGTTTCCTGCAGAACATATCTTCACACTGTCATTTACCCAACCACTAAGAAGTACATGCAGATGCTGCACATGCACTTTTTCAATTATGACACATGATTTAAAAAAAAAAAAAATACAAGATGAAAGTATATTTGTTACTGTTAGAAAACATATTTGTAAGGAATAACAGCTTTAAAAAGTTTAGAGGTATATTTACACCTTTATTTTTGTTCTTTTCCACACATATTACATCATGATCTAGTTACTTGACAAAGTATACAAAATAACAGAAGCAAGAACTTCCATGGTTAAGAGTTTTTTAAAAATCCAGGCACTCGTAGCTTTTTGAAACTTCCATGAGCATGGAATATGTGAGCAAAACATCTACAAAAAATATCAGTAAAGTGCAGAAATCAGAAGCGAAGTAACAAAAAGTAAGTTTATGAAAAGTAACTACGGGCAGGTTAGATAAGACAGGATGGAAAGAATTCAGCGGGCAGATATTTGAAGAAAAGCGTCAGCATAGAAAAGAAATTATTAAGCAGCACAGCATGTAACTCAAATTGTAAGAGCCTTCCAAAACTCCAATGTGGCAGCAAAGAATACATGTTCCCTAGAATGAATGGTTACTAGGCTATGGGGTAATTTGCCAAAAGTGACTGTAGCCAAGGAATTAGTGCCTTATCCTGGAGAACTATCCCACAAGAATAAACATACGGACTGGATGTTCCTGCAGCTCTGTGTCCCTTTCAGCCAGGGATACAAGGCAGATAAAACTGTCGAAGTGAAAAAGTGAGAGCGTGCATAGATGCAATGATGCTTTGCAGCAGAATATTACCCTATTTTGTACGTATCTAGAGCATTTCTGGGCAGCTTTTGTTTCCTCTTTCCATCCAATGTAGTCACTGATCTCTATTTAAAAGTTAGCTACCAACCATATCGTTATCTTACAGGAGGGAAGATAAATAAAACCAATTCAATAATTCACAGGGGATGTAACATTTGTTACTTAAAATGATTATCTTTATGTTTGCATTAAATTACTGTCACAAAATGCACCACAAAGCAAACTGTCTTCTGAAGTAACTGAATCTAATTAACCACAAGTAAAACAATATTCCAATTTCATGCCTTCCCTAAGACCTATGATTAATTTATTCTACTTTTTAAAGCTCAAATCTAAGTACTCAATGACAAATTCAGATCTTTTAGTCCCCAAAAAATTAATTTTCAGAAGACTTCTGATTATGAACTCTTGCTTTCATCTTCCAACCTCTAAATGGAAATCAAAGGCAACAGGGTCCTTTTCAAAATTAACGATACTAATGATGACGGAAAAGGTTTTTTTTGAAAATATTAAGGAGCAAATAATAAAATTGTCTTTTAAACTAAATAATGGATTTTCCCAAGATAAAATTCCACTGATCATTTCCTTCTTCTTTCCCTTGTATATTTTATCTATATACTCACAATTTGGACTGTGCATCTATCAAAATAATTGAGGCTCTGCTCCTGTAATCATTTGCTTTCAATTTCACCAAATAACCTTTGCACAGTATGGGGGTGGCAACTACAGCA